TTCACCTCTTGAGTAATCCTCCTTGTATTAAATTAAAAGCCTTGGTAAGTCATAAGATGAATTTGGATAGAATTCAAAAATAGCTATTTAAACTTCATTGAAATTGGAAGAATGGTTGTTATGCATTCTAGCATCGTTGATATATATATATATATATAAAGATACGTCACCAGATCCATGTTTTTTTATGGAACCGTATCTACCATTAAATTATTCATTTTCTATGTTTTGAACCATTTCACTCCTATAAACAAAGAACAAGTATTAAAGCCACATCAAAGTGTCTCTTATTATGTGAATTTTGAAAGATTAATTCTACAATTATGTACTTTTTAGGCTTAAACATACATATCAATCCTTCCAAAATAGCACCAATTTTTAGAGAAGGTCATAAAAAAATTCATATTTTTTTATCCTTAAGCCAATTCTTGCTCAATTTACATGACATTTACTTCTTTTCCTCCTTTTCTTTGTGACCACTCAACTAATATTATTTCAACCAATACATATCATTTTAATGTTAAATTCATAAATCATTTTTTATTAAAAAAATAAAATAAGAATAATATTGATCATTCTAATCTTTTTAATATCATTTGTTTGTCTTATCCATTAAAGAGTTTTAATCTTAGTATTTTTGGATAATATTTTAGTTGTAATGGTATCTCAAAATATCCCATAATATTTTAAAATATCACTTGATACTTCAAAATCATCCACCTTGTAAGATAGATGATTTTGAAATCCAAATATCAAAAGAAAGTCTTGTAAAATATCAAAAATTGTCTCACTTATTTTAATTGGCTTTTTTTCTTTTATTCCATATCACATTGCTCTTTAACTTTTTTAAATCACCAAAACATCAAATGATACTTCAAAAATTTAAAGGGGGTAATAAAGTTTGAATGGTGATATTTTGAGAGGTGATATTTCAAATAATCCATGATATTTGGTTTTCCAAAAATCAAAAATTTATAATATTTAATTATCTATAAATCTTAATTTTGAATATTTTTATTATTATTATTATTATTATTATATATTAAATCAACTCTATCAACCATTAATTTGATCCACTCATCATAACCATCATTATACATCCATTCTTATTTTTACCACATGTTCTATGTTTCAATTCATCCATCCCTTGTTCTCAAAATCAATTTCTATCTCTTGTCTTGATCTTTCCAAATAACAAATAAGAATTTTTAGGGATTACAATATATTCAAAGAATTTCAAAAATAATTAACATCCTTTAAGAGGCTTTGTTAAAAATTGAAATAGTCTACAAATCTCTAATTCTTCTTACACATATTTCTTTAAATCAAGGATAATCCTTCTATATTCTCAATATAAGGATAATCTCTTTATTTCTATTTATAGTATATAAGTGAGCTCATATATGCCACCTCTTTGAATTAGTTAATTAAATTTTAAGTATTCTTATGTTCAATTATAGGAATTCAAAAAATCTCATTAAATTTTATAAGAAGAAAGTACATGAAAGGGTAGGAGAAGAGAATCACAAGAACTTTTTTCACATAGTTAGTATCATTTGAAAAGCACATCTTTTATCTATGCAAGATAAATTTTGTGTATAAAGAATTATTTATAGAAAAATTATTGGGCCAATGATTTGTGAAGTAATACTTGATAAGTATTAGCAACCACAAAGCTAAGAAAATTTGTATAAAATATGCAATTTGTTATACAAGTTGTGAATATGAAGCAATTAATTTTGATTTGAAAAGATATTTACATAAGGAGAAGAGAGGATTTGGGATCCAAAGATTGCTCCAATTTCTAACAAAGCGTCTTAGGAGACATTTATAATTTTTGTAACTCTTTAAATATATTACAATTTCTAACATTACTTATTTGTGATTTGAAGGGATTGGGAGGGGGGATGGAGGTTGAGAACAAGAAGAAGGGGTAGGAGCTAGGAACAAAAAGGAAGAATAGGGAATAGGAAAGAGGCACATGGAATGGAAATAAGAGACAGGGATTGGAGACAAGAACAAAGTATAAGGGAATTGGGATGAAGGATATGGGCTATGAATAGGAACAGGAATGGAGGACGAGGGGGTTTGAACAAGAAACAGGAGATGAAGGAGTTGGGACATGGAGAACAAAGAATGGAGGGATCTGGATAGGATGTATTGTTGGTTGTCATTAATGGGTCAAATTAATGGATGGTGGGGTCAATTTAACATTTTCCTTTATATATATATATATATATATATATCTCCTTTTTGTTCACTTACATACAAATTGATCATTCTTCTTATTTTATCTTATCAGACATTACCCAATTATTTTCTAAATGTTTCAAGACCTTGCCCACTGATGTTTTTTTAAAACAATAAAAAGAAAGCATATTGAATACTGTCAAGTTCAATGACATAATTGGGGAAGAAACAGGTGTTTAAATAAATTTTCAAGAGAGATGCACTCGACAGCAAGCGTTGAACCCACCTCTGTATGAACGTTTTCATTGCGCATGTTCATGAAAAGACTATTTTTTACAGGCACAAGAATAAAATGTACAAGAGAAACAATGTAACATGTTTATTTTTGAAGTATGTGGTGCAGGAAACGGGTGCGACAGGGCGATGGTGGTTATAAGCAGCACTGGCCAGGTGAGGCAAGGAGAACGGTCGCCGCTGGCGTCGTCTCCCACAACGCACATCTCTAGTCAATGCCGCGGGAGACGTAGCGAGTATTGCGCATTCAATGAACTGGACGAGAGAATATCGTGTCATTTCGATATGACACTGAAACTGGTCAACTTCTAACTGCCGCCTATGTGTCAAAGCCTTCCACAGAGTTGAAAAAGTGCTTGCCCTTGCTACAGCGCACTGCTATCTATGGCATGTACCGGCCTTGTGGCCACCAAAGTCAAGCGCGCCGAACCCGGAGCAGATAGCCAGTTGAGAATTCCTTCACCCTGTGCGCATCATCACTACGTCACTTGTGAATAGACCGCTATATATCATACTGCGGCACTCTAGAAGCAAACGATTCTGACTCTATGCCTCCATCGCAAGCTCACTGTAAGCGCTGATTATTACACAATCGCACGATTGCACTACTGTGCTGCGCGACGGTTAAAGTCCATCACATAGTCTGAGGATCTAGGCGCCGGCATTTGTGAACTACCGAACTGGGTGAGAATTTTGTCGTCTCGTCGTTGTTGGTTCCGGACTTGACAGTTGGAAGTGATCGTGTTCGAATTTCCCATCGCTCAACCAAAGGGTTGAAGAATATTGCCACAGGAGCTTAGCTTTGTGCGTGTTGGTTGGGTTAGTGGAGTCTTCAAAAGATTCGTCGGTAGTGGTTGCGGTCACGATTGCAGCAGACGACGTCAGTTACTGACGCCTTCAAAGAGGTTTTCGGTTCGTCGCATACCCATAGGAAGAATTTGGTGTTCCGCGGAGATTCAAGTGTGACGGACAGCGACAAGATGGACCAGGGATGTGAGGGTGATGGTGGCGCGTCGAAGATGAATTTATGGGAAGGTGGGAAAGCAAAGAGTTGCAATTAATGCAATTAATGCTTAAATGACAGTTATGATCAGGTTGGACTCGGGCGTCCTTGCAGTGGCTTACTTGTGCCGAACATTCAAAGATTCGGGACGAGAGTGGGTTTTCAATACGGAATTGTATAAATTAGCTCACTAGCAAGTAGAACCGCACCCATCACAATTATGCGAAGTTTCCTTCTCCTTCACTACAATGAGAGTCACAACTTCAAGGGGAGTGGTGGATGTAGAGGCACTAATTCGAGAGAAAGAGCAGTACTGCACAAAAAAATTGTGCATTTACGCCCAATTTTTGCCAGTTGAAGAATCACCAGTTGGTAGAGTCTTACACCACCAGGTTCATGTGGATGAACCCAAGATTCCATGAATTTTGTATAGATACTTGTTACATTAACATGAGAAAAATATGTAGTGGCTTAAAATTGGTCACCTACATTTTCCAATTAGTCAAAGTTATGATCGCATGAAATGCAACCAACGATGTTTCAAATTCTCTTGTACTTGAATTTCCAAGGTGCTGGAGACTTATGCACGGAAGGGTTTTCAAGTTCTCCCCTCAGGATTTCGCCACCGAGACTCATGTGTTCGAATCTTCGTTCGACATCCTCCCCATGCATCGCATTGTTCAGCTACCCAATTTGTGTTCAATGAAAGTTTAAAATCCATGCATCGACAATGTCAGCAATGCCAAAAGAACGGTGTGTAGGAATCGAATGAACACTTCACACAGTTTGCTGGTTTTGAGGACTAGTCTGAGACCTTCACACTGTAACATATTTAAGGTCGCAGCTGTCACTCATTAAATTCTCTACGTATGAATATAGTAATCTTCAACTATCAGTTTTGGGTTCCCCCTTCAGTAGAAATAACAATAAAATTATATCCTAAATTTTTGAAATCTAGCTGAAATTAGGTGTAAAGCGGCACCTACTCCCAAATCAACCTTTCAGTTTAATCTTACCTTGGTCAATGGGTACCTGAATGGAATGTAATTGGAAAAGTTGCTATGGACGGGGAAAAAGTTGGTCTGGAGGTTAAATTGGCAATAAATTTTCACAGATCACCACTGTTTCAATCTATTTTTTAGTCTGAAAGGAGACAGTTATTTGAACTGGACAAAAACATTCATCATTAAACAGAGTAGTATCATAGGTACGAGGGCCGCATAAGTTGAGTCTACCTAAAGCAGAGAACTCCAATTGTCAATCCTAGTACCCCTCTGCATTAGTCGTGGAATGTTGAGGTCGTACTGTTGCCACATGAGACTTTGGTCATTATTGGTTGTCTTGCGGTATTGACCTTCCAACACTGGCTTTTATTTTACAGTCCTTCGTCAAATGCTTGTTTCTTCTGATGGAAAGCGTGCATTTGATTGATGTGTCACCAAAACAAAACACATTGAAGCAATAGTAAAGAAATAGTCACTTCACTAGCACTACTTGACTCATATCACTCTTCTACGGTAAACCTCATTCTATTAGTGGTCAAGGGAAGTACAGATCTGAGAACATTCTCGCAGAAAAACTTGGGAGCAAACGCGGGATCATTAGCCACGAGTCGAACTAGGCTGCTATGAATCTCTGTCAAAAACAAGTTACTAAATTACTACATAGTTTGGCATACTTAAGCGAAAAACTGAAAATAAGTAATGCTACAGCTCAGTTTCCTAAAACAATTCAAGAATGTAATCTCGTGGCCACGCTATTGGCACGATTGAGAATGGTTGCTACTCCATCATTTACAGGTATCTCCAGATTAGAGTCGGTACTTCTAAAGTTATCGAGAACAGAAACAGGCTCGGGCACATCAACCAGGCGTTCCATTGATGCCAATTGGTCGTTGGGTGCTATCTGCAGTTCACAAACAGGAGGCCGTCAGTGACATCGACATAGTAACAGATTCAATAATATAGAAACGGTTACAAATTTTTAGTCGGTGATTGTTTCATGTTATTGACGGTTGAAGATGTTCTAATTGATTCCCACCTGACTGAAACCATCCGGCCAATTTATGACAACAGCATAGTTGCCCATAGGTCTACTGCTTTCTGGCTGGATATCTTTAGACACATCAGTATACCGTAGCTTTTGTTCTCCTGACCACTTGTTCTACAGTCAAAGAATAACAAAACTTTAGTATAAACGGAACAGTAATTTCAATCCCAAATCTCGCGATTCTGCTATGCTGTCAGCAGAAATTTAAAGCATATTACAACGTTGAATGTTTCATGAACTTCACCCTCAATAAAATGATCTTGTTATCGAATTCCCAACTATTCAAAAACAGGAACTCATAAAATGCTTTTGTCAGAACGATCATTTCGACGGACAGTGGCAGGATGTAGTAGAAACTCTTTAGTTGATCCAGGAGCCTTTACTCGTAGTGCATTTATAGCCTTGTTGTACGTCACCGCAGTCGATACTGCAGGTGAAACACACATCAACCTCCGAAATAAAACCTAATCAACTGATAAGCAAATCCTCAAACTCGAGTACATTTTATGAAGCCAAAATATTAATAAATACCATTCTGTCAGGATCCGACGGTGTTACATTGGCATCCAGAATTGCACGTAATCACTTGAGTTCAATCAAACGAATGTCTTCAGTATGCTCAGAAATTCTCACCTGGCCAATGCAACGGAATAAACAAAGATCAGTTACCTGCTTGACGAAGCTTGGCACATTGTTGCACCACACAGACCCCAATATCTGAAAAGGTGTTGGCAACTTGACCTTATGGGTCCACAACCACTTCTAGGTTCCCACTATCTCCGGCAGCAGAAAGCTGTAAATGTTGGGAGAAAAATACCATCAATGTCGCAGCACTCTAAAATAGAAAATCGCATATTCAGGAGCCATTTAATCTCGTGTGATGTCGACTCAAACCAAAACATGTGAAGCATAGACAACTCACGAAACAGGCAGAATTCGCTAGCATGAGTTACAGAGAATGTCAAAAAAAGAACTTCCTTCGAGTCCGAAGGGAAGTTCGAACAGGTGTGGAATGCCCAACTGTTGGACTACCTCGACATGCACATCTAAATTGTCAGCCCATAAACCAGATCCTTATTAACAGTTAGAGAATATTTCATGCACCTTTGCATTTTAAAATGAGAGTGCAGAGTTAACGGAACATAATCCTAATGGTTTCATTACATGAATAATCGGGTACGCACCCCTATGAATGACCATTTACACTGGAATTACGAGATGTCAATAAAGAATATCTGAGCGCCAGATCCTTTCCCGAATGAATAATTGCGCTTATCATCACCTTCAAAGAAACGCATATTCTCCACAACGGCAACACACGGCACCTGCAAAACACAGAAATTTGTTTAGTACGGACGCTCAGAGTTTAGGGTTTAGTCTCTTCTGCATCTGCTCTGATCAGAGTTTCAGTGAAAGTTGAAATATTAAGTAAATTTTAAAACAGGAATAAGAGTAGACCTTAAGTTTGGAAAATATGCGCACTCCCTTCGCAACGTCTATGAATGCCAGCTTCTGAGGTATTGTAACTATGATGGCTGCTGTCAGAGGCACCACCTGAGCCACGAGGGCATATCAAAAAGCATCAGAGCAAAGCACTTATAGAGAAGATCGGTTAATTTGATTGAAAATATGAATGCAATTGCTGCTCAATTCAAACCATAGCGCTGGTAGACTGCTAAGGAAAATCACCGCTCCTGTTCAAAATCCTTTCGCTGACAGCTTATAAGACACCCTTGCCGCAAGATAATTTAACGACAATCTGGCATAGAGTCAGCGGAATATCTCCCGTACCAGACGGCATGTCAATCACCAAATAGTCCAACCTGCAAACATTCGCTCCACAATTTCAAGAACTGCAAAAGAGTACATGATTCTTCAAAATTTAACTGCTACAGTAAGAAAGACTGTCACTAATTGAAGAAAGGAAGGGCCATGCGCACAGTTAGTACAGATTAGTTGCCATACCAATCCGTGGTAGAGAGAAATTGATTGATGACCCCAGCAAAGACAAGTAGCAAGACAAGTAGCAAGACAAGTAGCAAGTTCGTAAAGGTGTTCTAAGGGTAGGAAGCTATACTAATTTATTAAGTTTGAAAATCCCAAACCTATGATGTGGGGTTCAGCTACCTTGCAGCTTGATGCCGCCACAATGTTGAAGACTTTCTTAAATCCAACAAGAACATCGTCTGCAATAAGCGGTTCAGCAGGTTTTGCAGTTATTTTCACATCAACCCCATTAACCCATGGTATGGCTGATACTTTCTCCTTGCCTTGTTGCTCAAACTGTTGCACACGAATTCATCAGCTATAGCTATACGTATAAAATTGCATTTTCGCATCCTAGTCACTGTTAAGTAGCAACACATACCATGTCCTTCACTGGGCAAGCGGGTGTCGAAAGCTCCAGCTGAAAAGAGACCTGAAAGACAACAGAAGATTGTGAGTTCTACTTTCAACACTACCCCAACTGCATGAGTACGCATTGAGGAAGATGTGAGTACCTGGCCGGGATCTTCCTCAATGGCCAGTCCCTTGATAAAGCCACAAGTAAATATGTCCGAGCCAATATCAGGGTCAATAATTTGTGATTAAGGACCTTAATATTTGGATACGTAAGAACAGCCATTGAAACTCAGGTTTATCAAAGCAAGAGCGTCGAAAAATAAGTTCGTTCAGTTCTAACAGCGAATTAGTTACCCTAAATAAGATGTCATGCTAATCTCATCTAATTCACATATTCCATTGAACGCAGAGGCAATGTTGGACCCTATAGCTAATTCTGGGTTAACAAAAAATCTTGCACCCAGCATTAGCTATAGGGTCCAACATTTAACTTGAGCTTCGCCCTGTACTGTGCTTGCAGGAGATGTTTACTTGAAAGACCTAAACCTCATCTCATTAATGATGATACGTTCTATCAATCCAGGGTCTAATGTTGTTACATTTATGTAATCTGAAATAAAAAAATTTATTAGAAGCAAAGCAGCACATCATTTGAGAATTTTGAAACGAAGACAAGAAGAATACGCAAGAAGAAATTACAGAGTACAGCCCATCCTAAGACCAGGAATTGCAGTTATACTATATTGAATTGCAAAAAATAAATTCCAACACTTCTGAAATTGAATACAAATCTCTAAACGAATGCGACGAAAATCAGCTACTTTGCACCTCATACTAAATTTCCAAATTAATCTCAAACAAATGCGGCCTCCACTTCCTCGTCAACTGCTTCACGCCTTCAATCTCCAAATCCAAGAACCAAAATTGCCAAACTAAACTCAAGAAAACGTTCAATTCAAATATTTATTTTTTCCGAATAGAGGCCACACTGAAATATTACAAAACGATCAAATGACGGAACCAAGTGAAAAAGAGATAAAAGAAAAGAAATAAAAAAACAAAACAAAAGCAAATTGCACAAACCTGACCTCCGAACTGACTCATTGGAACCAAAACCGACCCAGGGCTGCCACCGCCCGAACCCTAATCGATGAGCTTCTAACCACAACCTCTTTGGACTTACATGTAGCTCCAATATCCTCCAAGGGAAGCCTCTGCAACTGCGCTGCTGCTAGCGACGTCGTCATCTCTCCCAAACCAAGCTCACCTCACACAGCTGATGAGCTCCAGCCTCAGAGTGATCCAAACACAAGCCACAATGTCCAGTTTTTTGCTAAACCCCACTTCTGTCATGAACCTTAAAATGCAGGCAAAGAGTTGAGAGCACAATTCAAGCATCCATGCCGTCACTAATCGACGATTCAGCAATGGTGTGCCTGTGTGCAATTGCCAGCGTATTGGACAACATAGACAAAGAACATGTGAAGATGAAGAGCAACGAAAACAAGTCGATGCCTAGCAAGCAAGCTCAATATTAGAGGTGATTGGTGTGAAAAAAAATGATTTGAACAATGTTGTGTCTATATCCAATCTTTGACCTATACAACTGACACAAAGAACACGTGCACAAGTTAACTAATATAGACAATGGAATAAATATTAGAAAACATGACATGGTGTTAGCAATGTAAATAATTGTATTTGTAGAGATATTTCTCAGTCTTTGAATTATCAAGAAATTGCACAAAAGACACAAGATGAATAAACAATACATTCACATTGGAAAGAAGAAGCAAGGAATACAATATAGTGAGAAAATATAGTAGACAAATGCAACAACTTTATCTTGAAAATCAGAATAAATGATGTGGAATGTTAAATGGATCCAAGTTTTTACTAATTTGATCCATCCATCATAACTATTATGATGAAAAAAAAAAAATAAAAAAAAAAAAAAAATCTACACTCATTTCTCTAGTATTAGATCTGAAACCAAAAAAAACCAACTACATTCATCATGATTCCCAAATATCTTCATTATGGGTAGGTTGATTTAATAAAAACTTTGGTCTATTTAACATTTTTCTAAATGATATGTTGAAAATATGGAAGTTTGATGATCATATTTTAGAATATTTCATTGGATGGAGAAACAAACTTCACCATTGTCAAGACTAAATTTAAGATTTGATATATATTTTCTTTGTCAAAAGATCAAGGTTCCATCTTTAAAAGATCTCTTTTTATTATTTGTATAGGTATTTGATGGTCAAGATAAAGAAAACAAGGAATGTAGAAGAATATTTGCTAGTATAATGTATCACATGCATTTACATCTCTTAATATAAAAATTGATAATATTCTCTTATAAGGTTGTAACTATATAATTTTTGTATATTTAAAAAACTTGGCCATTAAATGGATGTTCTTTTAGTTAAAAAAGATCAAAAGTAAGTTATATGTACCTTTACATGTATGTTGTTGATTTTACATATGGAGTAAGAATAATATATAATGCAAATTTGTTAGTTCAAACAATGTGGAAGCTTCAAGAATGTATGAAAAACCATCATATGTTTTTTTCTTCTTTTTCACAAAGATCATAAAATATTATGCAAAGCAAGAAAATAGAGAGGGTAGTAATGACATATGCATAAATCTTCATTTTGATAAAGATGCAAACAAGTATTATTACAAACATTCAACTTTAAACAAAGTTGATGTTATTGTTTTTAGCAATAGAACAAAAGTAGAAGAAATAAGAGATATAATTGTTTAATGGAGAAGGATTCTATTTCAATGAATTCATGAGAAATATCTTATATACTTGTCATTTTATTATGTCATTATTTTTCCATGCAAAGAATGTAAATGACATGACTAAATGAGACACATATATATATATATATATATATATATACATGAATGGTACTGAAAATGGAGGTAATAATAAAAAGATTATTCAAATCACTAAAGTAGAATTTTATTTGTATTAATTTTTTCTATAATATAACAAATATTCTACGATCTTTCAAGATAGAAAGTTATTACAAGGATTTATAATAGATACTTGAGCAACAATCAAATAGAATTAGATGAGATACTTGAATATGAATCAAGATAAGTTATGCACCAATATTTATCAAAGACAAGCATATGTTTTTAGAGATGCACAAAAATATAAATTTGTATTATAAAATCTAAAACAAAAGATAATTTTTTTTCAATTCATATTAAAAAGATAAAATATTTGTTTGAGATTTTTTAAGATTCTATGGCTAATATTTAATATTTTTAACATCTAGATATATTTAAAATTATAATTGCAAATCCATATTGTTTAGAAATTTCAAATAGACTTCTTCTAAGATAAAATACCAAAGATTGATCCAACTTGGTAAGAAGAGTATTTGAATTTAAGTCTTTTGAAATAATTGAGGATATTTTTGAACACCACATTATAGAGAATATTCTTATAAGAGTGCATTTTATTGAATTTCAAAAGAGATGACTTTGACACATGCACTTCTTATTTTCTTTTTCACCAAGATAGTAAAATAAGAGAAAAAATTTATATTAATAGGATTATTAATGCAAAGTTTTATGTTCAATGAGAAGATCTATTGTAATTTGTAAGAATTAGCTCTTGCATGATTTATAGTTCATGTAGACTTTAAAATATATAATCCATATTGAACTTGGTGCTTAAATTTGAATTATGAAAAATATTTACAAGAACATCTATAAATAACATGATTATACTAAAATACAAATAGAAAATGAAGAAGATGAGGTTAGCCAATGTATTGATATAAGCTATATCAAAGCTATGAAGACAATATAGTAATTTTTAAAATAAAAATATGTAAGAGCATTTTATATGAAATTTAATTACTATAGCATCTTTTTAAAATACATCAAGTAATTTTCTTTTTATCTTAATGATGATATAAATGAAGTCTTAATCCATGAAAAGTACCCAAAAAAAACTTTTTGATGGCATTTTTAAAATTTGTGAATCTATATAGATTTCACAATAATACACATATCAAGCATCTTTACTAAAAAAAAAATGTTTAGAAGAAGATTATAAATAAGTAGAAAATAAGACAATAAAGATTTGCAATCAAAAAGTTGTATTTTGTTGATCTTGCTTTAAGAGAAAGATTTTATCTTTGATTTCTTTTAATAATTGTACATAGATTTCAATCATTTGAAGATTTCTGGACTATAAATGGAGTAGACCAATTCACTTTTAAGAATGCATACTTAGAAATGGAACTATTAGAAGAAAGTAAAGAGTGGAATCAATCATTAAATAAATATTTAATAATAAAAATAAAAATAAATATTTAAAAAATATTTTTTGTTATTTTGCTCTAATATATATCAACATACATAGAAGAAATATGGAATAAGTTTAAATACTTGATGTGTATGGAGTTAAAAGAAGAAGAAAAGACTAAATATAAATAGAATAAAAATAAAAATAAAAGACTTGGTATAAAAAGAATTATCATAAAAAATAATAATGTACAAAAATAAAAAAATAAAGTAAAATAGAAATAAAAATAAGTAGTATATATAAAAAAAAGATGTTCAGCCACCCATGTGTTAATAACATATGGTCGTTAATCCACCTTAGGTAGTTAAGGTAGTTAAAAATATGTATATTTATTAAGATCAAGTAATAAAAAAAAATTATCATAAAAAATCTATAAATATTTATATTTATATTTTATATTTATCATTATAAAACTAAAATTAACATTCAATTATGTCCATTTTTCCACCTTTTTTTTTCATAAGAAAATCTTAAGTCTTAAATTATAAAATGATTCAAGAAAGAATTCATATAGACTTTTAGTTTTTTTTTACTTAAGATTAAAGAAGATTTAGAGCTAAGACCATAGAGTGAGTAAGCCAATGGATGGCTATAAGTTAAAGTTCATTAAGTGCAAGTTAAAGTTCTACCTTAAGCAAATTCTATTAATAGTCTACTTTCTCTTTGAAAAAGACTTACTTAGAAATAGTAGAATATTACAAGATATAAAGAACAAATTAAAGAACTAAGATAATTTAGATAGGTTTAAAGTTTAACTATAAAGAAGAATTCTTGATCTTGATAAAGTAATCAATCTTGGCAAAGTGATTGATCTTAATAGAATATTTGACCTCAATTCAGTAATTGATATTAAACATTGATCTAAATTTTATTATCAACCTTAACTTTAGATACTCACATCAACAAAGAATGATCATCAAAGAGTTATTATTAGCATAGAAATATCTCTTATGTAAAAACATAAAAGGCATGTCTTAAATTTCTTAAGGTGTGACAAGTAAAGTATTTGGTTGTATTTTTTGAAAAAAATATCAAAAAGTGAAAAAAAAATATAATTTAATAGCAATGAAGTTTCAAAGTAAAATTACTTTTTTATTTTTTATATATTGTCTCTTTTGAAATAAGAATACAAATTTTCAATGGTTGGCAAAGAACACGTTTCATATTTTAAATTTTGCTGGATTTTTATAAAGATTTGTTTATTTATAATATTGTAAAGAATGCAATGTATGTTGATGTTCTAAAAAAGTAACGTTTATCATCTAAGATGATATACTAATGCAAGATTTATAATATGCAAAAGTAATTGATGTAATCAGCTAAGATATAAATTATACCAAAAAATTATTTGAGTAAACTTTGGTAGTCTTTAGAAGAAAAAAAAATTACAAATTCTTCTTGTAATTATAAAAGACTTAAGAAACATCAATTAAAAATTATATATTGATAGTTATAAAAGACTTAAGAGCAAGATTTTACTTAAATAAATTTGAAAATCAAATTACAAAAGGGTAATCTGCAATCTTTAATATCAAATAAAAAATTTCTATAAAGAGGGGTAGTTGACTCTTTTTAAAGAAAAAAATCACTATTAGGGAACTAAAATAACAGATTGAAGGTAGATAGTCTACAACCTTCAAAACTTAATAATAGAAGTAGAATAGTCCACTCCCTTCTAAAAACAAGGCAAGAACAATGAATTAGAACTCATGTCAATTTATCAAAGGCATGAATTTCAAAAAACCAAAAACTTAATACATCCTTGTGTAACTCAAAAAGAAAAAATGTTCATTCAAAACTAATATAGTATCAAAATTGGAATGGCTATTACCAAAGACAAGAAGACTAAAAAGTCTTGAAAGAAGACTAAGGACTAGAAAGGCATTGACAAGAATGAAGAAGGCTTCATTCTTACCTCCACATATACTAGCTAACTAGAAGCTATGTGGCAAAGTTCTATGGGACCTTTAAGATGTGTCTAATTTATAAGATATGTATCTTAACTTATAAGACAAGTTTTCTATATGTGAGCCATATTATTAGCTTATACCACACCTTATCAATATGTATGACATGTAGTTAACTTGTTGGCCAAGTTTTTAACCTATTAATCTCCTATAGACACGTATAAAGGTGAAACCACGTCTATGAAGCATCTAGGTAATTATTAGAATAAATATCTAGATAATTATTAGAATAAATATGTATGTCCATGACAATGACTTGAATTTGAGGTGGGCTTTGACAATGAATAATATTATTAAAGGCTTTAGCACTACCTAAATCTTATTACTAGATAAAATGATAATAGACAAGTACTTCAGTACAAGCAAAATATATAGGCAATTTATTGAACAAGTTAAATAAGGTGAAAACTTTGCAGTTGGAGAAGTTAGAAATTTTTCATAGCATGAAGTGAGAGTAGACTAGACATGGGATCAAATAGTAAAGATTTACTTACTATGCTAGCTAACAACATTGCAACCAACTTAAAGTTGACTCCCAATTCTACTACAAAATATATTTTCATCAATACAAATTTGTCTAATTAGGAATTGGTGAAAGATGTTGGCAAATTAGACCTCTAATTCACCAACTTGGAATCTATAATTCACTTTCCAACTTTGCCTACCATAACAAAAAGGCTAAACTCAAAGAAATGCAATACGGATTCTATTGTAGATATTTCTAAATCACTAATACTAACTTCTTAGGAATATATGAGCATTATGCTACAAATTCAACAACAAAATTTTGAATGGATAAGAAAAAAAGAACACAAATTAAACAAGAAGAAGCAAAATAGAAAAAATAAAAGGAGTTGGACAAAAGGTGAATACAAAAAGAAGCTTATTAGCATAAAGTAGCAAAAGAATGTGCTTGCAAGGCATACGAGCGAGAGGTCATGTTTAATGAGGCCATGCACTTAAAGGTACTATTGCAAGCTTTGCAAATAGAGGCTCATGTTTTATAGACTACAAAGGGGATTGAAGTAAGGGATACAGCTCTAAAGTGCCTCAATTCTAGTAAGGAGTGCAAAGGAGGAAAAAACTTTCAAACTCCCTTTCAAGATGCACCCTTGCCATATACTAATTTACAAATTGTATTATACTATTTGTAACTCATGTAAAGTACACAATTTATATTTTGTACTATGTTTCAATTTTTTGTTGCCTCTTTACATGCATAGACTATACAATAAAATATTGGAAAGAGAAAGCTTAAAGAAGCCATTGGAAGATGAATGAACTAGGGTTTGGAGATGAGTAAGAATAAGTGATTGTTGTTGCAAAAATCTCACAATGAACTAATTGATTATTTACAACCAAATATTTGAATTAAAGTTGCTTCATTTATGTATTATCATCCTTAAGTAGCACAATATGAGGTGTGATTGAAAGCATATTTAGGTACAACAATTATCATTTATAGGAATCAAGTATTTTCAATTTTGCAATCAACCATTGATTAGAATTAGGATAACCTATATAATGAATATAGGATGAACATAACATTCACTTCCAAAATTCTTGGTAATTTTTTTTTCGGGGAAAAAAGAAAAAAAAGAAAAAAAAGAAAAAAAAAGTGAAAAAATATGAAATCCTTTTGAAATCCGATTTTCTACATAGGATTTTTTTATTTATTTTTTTATTTTTTTTTTTTCTCGTCATACTACCACTGCAGATATGATAAATTGCTTAACTGGGCGTTAATGGGTCATCTACCTTGTACCATACGTGTTTCACGCCAACACCCACACTTTTACTCATTCTAAACGTCCTGAGATAGACTTGGCGAACAACTCTGCCTCCAGCAGCCCGCAAGCTTGAGGCGAGAGCAGAGTATGCAATGGAAGATCAAGTGATTGACTCCGAACAATGATAACTTGCACGAGGGTTGCGCTACTAGTGCTGGAAATCTTGACGAGTTGCATGATGGACTGTTCGTAGCAAATTGGCAATATCTCCACTAACATTATCTGTTAGTTCTGGTCAGAATTCTGGCTTAAGGCAGATAAGAGAAAGTAAACAAACCAAATTGAGTCGTGAGTCTCCAGCAAAAGATCGAACATTTCCAAACAAAATTTGTGATTATTCTCTGTATACTCAGAAGGTACATTTACATATATTAAGGCATAAATTGAGAGCAAAATGTACGACTGATCATCCCTGTACAGTAATATTCCGGAGAAACAATTAGAGTAATAAGAGCAGCTTGGATAACGCTCTTTCTATACTCTTAAAATAAGAGAAAAGAATTGAAACTAACGCTATTTACTTATAGCCTTAGGTCGACTTTAGCATGAAGACACGTCTTCTACTTTCCATTCGTCTCTAATGAATAAGAATATTGCAGTAGATATCCTAATAACATTTTCAGTGAAGCCTCTGTGTTGAGATGCATATATACTGAGTATGACCTAAAATCATGCTGCTCTCCCACGTACACCTCAATTATGCCGAATTTACACTTAATACAAAGCTTTTCTTCACCAGCTTGGGATGATCAAGTGTCGACAAAAGATCTACCTCAACTGAAATCAATCCAGCCCTAAAAATCAGTTCTATTACCTGCTACACCTGCAACGTGAAGACAAATCTAGTAGAGGCGTATCCTCCTCGAAATTGGTTGCCTGCATATTGGACAATTCGTTAAAGCCTGGGCACAATACTGACACGTTTGATGGCCACAATTAAATGCCGTATCTTTCTTGTCTAAAAGACAAACAGGGCACTCTGCATCCCTTTCACCAGAGTTTCCAGAGGTAGAATGAAAGTAGGTTGGAGGAGCAGGAGCAGAAGAAGAGGACGATGGATACCCAGCAGGAGCAGAAGGATATCTAGGGGGAGCAGAAGGGGGTGGAGGATATCCAGGTGGAGCAGGAGGATGTCCAGAGGGAGCAGAAGGAGGTGGAGGATATCCAGGAGGAGCAGGAGGAGGAGGATACACAGCAGAATCAAAAGAGGGTGGATAACCACCGTATTGAGAATAAGCACTCAGTGCGGGCTGTGAATAATACTCGCTGTAAATGGACGATGGAGCTTGAGGGTTATTAGAACGCCCATACTTTTGGCTGTCCATGTGCGTGAACGACGGAGTTTGGGGAGATCCAGGACTCGGACCATAACCTAGGCCGTCCATTTGCAAAACCCTTGGTGGCGGGGGACGAGGTCTAACCCCGGGAGACTGACCTCTTCTGGTGCCCAAGATTCCAAGCTTCACGGTTGCCTTGTACTGTAAAGGAATCTCCATAAGTGCCCCCAATGCGAATTTCGCCTCCTTTTCCTGCGGCAATAGCCTGCTCTGCATAATTTCAGTGAAGTTGATGAACTGGAAATTATCGAAGGTGCGCTCTGGTAAATTGTCATCAAACTCTTTCATCATGCTGAAGGGCCCATCGCCAACACCCACAAGGACGATGGACAAGGGGTAATAGCTTGCATTAACGATAGCGTCAACTGTCGCCCGCTCCTGAGGGCCTTCTATTTGTCCATCTACAATATCACAAAAGTCCACCATTCAATGTGAGCGCATATAGCAAGATCAAGGCAATTGAAAATCACTTCATTCTCCTTTTTCCAAGGATATAAGTCAACAAAGACTCTAATAGTAACCCAAAAGGGTTCACGATTCAAAGGTAAACCTACGTCGCAAAATTCAAAATCCAACGAAGACCCATGCACGCAATAGGTCATGACCTATTCAAGTGAGAAACAGAAAAAGAAAAAGAAAAAAATGACCATCGCAAAACACTGAAAAGTGCGGACTTGCCAAAAGGGCTGAAATTTGTACGAAGAGGTTCGGATTTAGATGATATTCAAGACCTGAGAGATAGAATGGAGCAGTAATATAGTAGGAAGAGTAGCAAACAGACCTGCGATGATGAAGAGAACATGGTATTGCCCGCCACTTTCTTCAACAATGTCAACTGCGGCGTTGATAATGGGAGCAAACGAAGTGGGTCCAGCGAGCCGAACGTGCGGCAAAATGGCCCTGTAGCGAGCGAGAGCCTCCTCCATGCCATCGCAAGGGCGGTTTTCGGAATAAAAGCTGAAAACCTGCTTGTCGTGAGTGGTGGAATCACCGAATCCAAAGCAAGGAATGAGGTTATCATCGTCGAATGGAGACAGCGTCGTTCCGATGATGGTGAGTGCTTTCTCGTAAGGGTTCTGCTCTTGTCCGATGGCGTGCAAACTCCGCCCACCAAATGAAACCCTCCCCGTCCACTCATTACTCTTCGTGAAATCTATACCGACTATCAAATTAGACGATTCCAACCCGTTGTCTTTCAAGGCGCGCTGAACCTCCTCTAAGGACCTATAATTATCATTGATCATAGAGTACCGCGGGTTCATGGAGTAGCTACGGTCGGGAATCATAGAGTGTCGCGGCCCAGTAGGCCATGTCGACGGAGCAGGAGGGGCATAATCCCTCGATCGCTCGTGCCTGCTCGAGGAAGACGAGCCGCTATTGCCCATAACAATCACGGCACTCAGAATTCTTCTTTTCTTAGAAACCAAAACCCTTCCACTTTGAATAGATAACGCTCAAATTCCTTCCTTAAGACCAAACCTGAACTGAATCACTATTACGCGATCACAAGAGAAAAACCCAAGTCTGAATCTGTCTAACGTTACCAACAGTCTCTCTTCTACGTCAAGTAACCTTACAGGTGGCTTCCGAGGGACAACCCCAGCAATCGTTAACAGCCTTGCAGACTTCGCACTTTAACGCCTCATTGTCACGAGGAGAAACCCAGAAACTTCAAAAACATTACTCGATGTCATCAATCCAGACTATATGCTTGGCGGATCGGGAGGAGGCAGCATCCGAAACATCTGTTAGGTTGGATTGGGACCCACGGACGCATTAGTCGCTACATCGCGTTCCGCGGTGCTTCAATGGAAGCGTGAGGAACAGGTCTGGACCTCGGATGGGGCTCCACCACATTCTAGAAACAGTGAAGAAGCCAGAATCAAGCTCACCCTCGAAGAATTGTGTCGTAAGGACCTCCCAACTCAATCGACTGGCTCCGCCATCGTGAGCCGTCAGATCACAGCTGCCGCTCAGATTCAATCTCAACCGCCGATCGGATTTCTGGAAACGTGGGGAAACCAGGGGGGGGCGAGCAGGTTGGGAACTCAAAACTCATTCCTAGTTGGGCCCGCACTTATCCATATTCTACCCCTGATTGGGCCCATACTTAGGCCCAAACTGATCCACATTCACATGGGTGCTGAAGTTTGTTCAGGGCCTGCCTCTCAATCCCAATTTTCAACCATCAGTCTTGCTTCAAAAGAGTATTTTTTTGTTGTCACACACAACAGTGGACATGTTACTTTTTTTTTTTGGGAGGAATTTTTGCAACTCAAAAAATCTTCTCATTATTTTTTTTCATACACAGATATTTTATAAACAAGGATATATCATTGATTATTTTCTTTGTAAAAGATATAAAATATAGATTGGTTATATTTTAGTTTATTTCATATTTTTAATGAATATTTAATTTACACATTATTTATTGAAAATATTGTAAAATTTTATTATCATATTTGAATATAAAAAATCAAGAAAAATCATTTAATTAATTTTCTCTTTAAAATATTATTTTGGTATAAGATATTATATAGATTTATTTATTTTTAAATTATTTTTCAAATCATAAAACATTTTCTACAAGCATTATATATCTAAGTATTTTTATAATTAAAATAAAAGCAATAACCAGAATAGTGTGATTATAAAAACTATTAATAAAATGAGACTTTATTGTATATAATAATAAATACCACATATGAAATATTATCAAATCAAATCAAATATTTATATGAAGTGCCAAATTTTGCATCTATGTTCTTAATAAAAATCTAAATCTTTGAAGAACAATTCTACATCTTTGTCAACATTGCATCCTTCTTTATATAGTGTAATACTATTATTTTCTTTTATAATTATATATAGGTAATATTTGCACTCAATTTTGATGAATCCAATAAAGAATATGTTTAGATTATTACATTCTAGATATGTTTGTATAGAACCAACACAAAAATATATAATGCTTTACTTAAATTCTACAAATATTTTTATTTTTTCAATACAAATAATCTTCTAGAATGGCTCTTATTAAAGCCTTATACTATATATTATTTTTATTAGTTACTATTATATTTGGCCAAAATATATGCATGTTTTGAAACATGGCGCTTATTATGAAATATATACTATTTGTTATTAATGACTATCTATATTGGCAGTATAAAGCATCAAAAAAATTGGCATCTCAATTCCATAACATTGAAGTATATTTCAACATACAATAGTGTATTTTACAAGTTGGTTTTGAACGTCAATTCTATGATCCATATCAAATTTGATATTATATCCTTTATTCTTTCAAGAGTGTCTTTTTTGTATCACTAATACAAATGGTTAATTCTCTACTATCAAATTTTCTAGATCATAAGCTTAGTAAAAAAGTACTTTTGCTCTGCTTTGAGCTATTGATAACAACTCCTTTCAAATTTTTAGTTTTTATTCCATTACTATATCTAATTTTATACTTTGTATTTAAAATATATTTATTGAATAATTAATTAAGATTTTAGTAGCTATAAATCTTTGTGGATTAGCTAGTATTTATATTAAGAGAGAAAAAGCAACTATTGCAATGACTTTATATTGCTAATGCCCAACAAGATACAAGATATCAAACTGCATAGCAAATCGGAAATATATGGAGATGAAGTTGATTATATGGTTGCATTTAAAGAAAGAGGTCACCTCTAAATACCTTAGAAAAGAACAAAGAAAGTGTGAGTTGCAAAATTGACTAACATATATATTTAGTACAAAAAATATACTTATTGTACTTTAAATCATAGGTTTTGTGAGTTAATAGTAGAATGCTTAGACAAATAGAAAAAATAGACTACTAATATTAGAGATGCAATCTAAGATAGAATTTCTTAAGATAAAATATAAAAATAAATATAATTTTCTTTCAAGTTATTTAATATTAGAAGATGGTCTAAAAATAGTAATTATTATTGATTTTGAATTAAATAGAAATCTAAAGAAGAATCATTGATCAAACCTATTTATAAAAAAATCCTATTTATTAGTAGTCCTTAAAAAAATAGAAACAACATCAAAAGAATAGAAAAAAGAATTAAAAAAATAAAAATAATAGATGAATAAAAGATCTAAAAATATCTATATATATATTAAAAAAAAAAAAAAAAAATGAGCTCCCCTTGAACTCTAGATGAATTATCTTAGATAGGAATTTGGATTTCCCCAAATCCATTTCTCTCTTCTTGTTATTTTTTTCTACTATATTATTAAAAGGCTCAAATATAGACAAAGTTGTAAGTAGTGTTCTTTTCATAGTCTGGTATACAAATATACAAGAAAGTTATATTTTATTATTTTTCTTATTATTGTTATTATGTTTTTTCTTGGATATACTAGTGTGTATGAAAGTGCTAATTCTAAAGGTATCATATAGTATGGCAATGCCTTCAAGTTAGCTATTGTAGTAATAGAAACATTAATTAAAGAGAAACAATAGAGAGAGTAAGAAAAAGAACCTTGTCTTGAATATGTTCTTAATTAGTCTGAATTTGTATATAAAGGGTGGTTTCTATTGATTTTAAGTACTTTGACTATTGGATCTTCTCATGAATTAGGCAACATTGGATATTATAGAATTGATAGAAGATTATTGTATTTATAATAGGAGTTGAGTTTTCCTGATGTTGATATTGTGCATAATCAAAGCAATGGAAGAAGTGTGTGTAGATGATTCTAAAAAAGTAGATAAATTGAGATTATTCATAGTGATGCACCAATCTGTAGCTCAAATATTTCAAAAATTATTTAACTTGCGATGGTTCATAAGATTACATTTCAAACTTTGCAATATAAAGTCGATGAATATGTCAAGTAGTTGAGAATTGGCTTGAATTATTTATGATTATTTTTCTTTTCAATTGATACCAACATCTTCTAGGCAACGCCGTTGCTTGTTTTTGAATGGAAGACAATCTACAAGGATGATCTAAGCAAAGTCAAAATAGAAGGATGATAATATATGCTACCAAAAGATATATATGATACATCACAATTCAGGTATCATGGTTGTAACATTCTACTAAATGACAAATAAAGCTTAAAAATTATACATGCCAATTTAGAATTTGGATCCATAAAGACATGAGTGGACAAATAGGTATGAACTAAAATATACTTGTATTAATTGGAAGTTTATTCTAGTTCACAACGAGTGACTTAACTATCTAATTTTTATAAATTATAGTTTTTATTTAAATCCTAATTTTTATTCACTTCTTCTTCTAATTAAAACATCTAATTAATCAAGCTTAACTTCTATTATTAATTTATATTTATGATAATAAATCATTTACAAAATACAGATTTAAAGAATATTTTTTAAAAAATCATTTTTTTATTATATTATATTATGTTATATTTTTATATAATATTTTTATTTAATTAAAATTTATCTATTAATAAAAAATCATCTAAATATAAGTTATCATCTTTAAATAATCTTTTCATCTATATTTAATTTTATCTTTATTTAAAAACTCTATTTTTTAATTAATTCTCATCCAATATAAAAATTCATTTAAATTAATCTAATTCATTCATAACCTAAGCTTATCTCCATGTACTATGGTTCATCCAATCATATTTTCATGGAACTTTATTATAGCTCTTCTTCTTGTGTACTAAAGCTCATTGAAAAGCTAACAATAAGATTTAGCTTTCTTCAAAATTTCAATATGTAAAGATGATAATTCAATAAGTGGTCTTAAAAACCTTAAACCAGTCTTAAAACTTACCTCTCTAAAATTATAGCAACCTCTTTCCTTACAAAATCCTACCCAAGCAAAAGAAAATCTTTTGATGCAAAAAATCCCTACTCAATCTTCTTTCAAGATCCGTCTAGAACCATTATAGAGTTGGATATCTATTCTAAAATATAATATTTTCAAAGCTTAAATAATCCATTTAAGGTAATAATTTTATATTCTAAATTCCATTCAAATTTGTAAATATATTAGCATTATATTTCCTCTTTCTTACAAATAAAACTAATTATCCTCTAAATATCATTGATGCACTTAAATTAAATATATCACAACACTCACCTCCTCTAAACTTCCACATACTTTGGTATGTGCTAAAGAATTACACCACAATACCTTCATGATTGGAATAAGAGTCATTGTGAGTCATATCACTTTTGAACCATTGATCAAAATATTGAGACTTAAAAGCCTTTAAATCTTCTATGTAATTCATTCCATTTGACCACTTGAAGTTTTTAATTTGCTTTCTTGTAATTATAGACTTCAATGGTAGTTCATCTAAATCTTGAAGAAAATAAGTTGCATTATCGTATACTTCAACTACCACCTAGGATCTTAACCAATTCCATGCTAATTTATAAAGAATAGAATGTTGGTGCATCAAACTACTATCATAAACTAAAATCTAATCACCATCTTTAATTGGCTTAGACCTTAATTAGTAAATTTTATTATATTTTTTTTGTTATTCAACCTAACTACCTTAAGCTTATCCATAGCAACTTGATGATCATTGGATAATTGTTTTAATTGGTAAATTGAAGCTCTAACAATCTCTTCATATCAATGCTACCTTTTTAAGACAAAAATAACCAAAAGAAAATAGATTCTACTATAAGCATTAAGGACTTTTATTGCAACATCAATTCCACTAGCATATAGCCAATAATTAAGCAATAAATAATCCTATCTATTCATAAAGAAAATAAAAAAAGCTTAATTTATAGCCTTGATTGATCCTTATATGCCTTGACCAAAGCTTAAATGATTGGAGATGCCTCTTTTTACTCTTATTATTGGCTTTGAGATTATAGGATGTAATCAATTTGAATTGTACTTCA